GCATAAATCGACCACATCCAAACAAACCATAACAAAGATGGATCAGAGCTTCGATGTAACAATATCATACACAACCTTAAAATGTACATTATTGTCTGCACCATTGAGATTAAAATATTAAATCCATAAATATCGTTGAAAATCCCAACAAGAGCACAACATTTACGATGTAATTTTAAGAATTCCTCAATTGTTCTTTGATTTACCAACTTGCTTTCTCCCTGAATATTTAATAAACCATTCAAAACACGAAATCGGTTTAAAGTGGCTTTTATAATCAACAGTTTGACAAATTCACTTGTATGAAGATTATAGACTGACCATGGTACACCAGCGTAGAATATTACTTGATCCAACCAGATAACACTTCCATACAAAATATAATCAAAAATAGACATAATAACAAACAAGGAATTTAGTAGAAAAACACCTAAAGTTACATGTTTTATTAGTGGTACTTTGACGTGGAAAGTTTTCTGTAAGTTTAAATCGATTTCGTTGAAAGTGTCAAACAGTTTTTGCACAGTGGTTATTTTGGAATTAACAATAAATACGGTTTGAACGTAGAATAAACAATTAACTAAAGGTTGCATCCAAACATCTAGGAATTCAATGTTTTTGAGATGTTTGTAACTCCATAAAATATATCCAAATATTGCTAAGGTGCATAGTGTGGTACATATAATTGGAAGTAACAATAATCTACGAAATTGTTGGTTTGCCCTTTGGTAAAATGGAAAAACTCCAAGATATGAAGAAATTTTTATGGGTAAAATGATGTTTTCCGCTAACATTTCTTTGCTGGTCGCTTGCTTGATAGAAGTAGAAGTCTAAAGTGAAAATGCTTCTCAGTTAATTTAATTAATTAAGTTTTTTTACTTGTTTGGTAAACAATTTATAAGATCTTTCATATCTTTTCATTTTGATAACGTTTTATTCAAATATTTACATTCAAATCATTTTAATTATTTTTATTTTTTCTTATTTTGTGAAAATTGAACAAGAACAATAATATACGTTGTGATCAAATTAACAAATGTAAATATCATTGAAAAATCAACTTTGAAGAAACCAGCGGCTGTAAACTGAGGACATCTCGCGGATGATTGTTGTGATAAAATCAACAATTTCTCTCTCATTGCAGCAATATTATTAAAACGTTGAAGTGCTTTAAATCCTAAAGTTATAGAAACTTTTCCTTCATCAGCCACTTTTTCACAAATTGTTGCAAATGCAATTATTTGTATCTGAAAATAATATTTGTTTGTGTAAAATAATTTTTACAAATTTATCTAAAACTTACTGTATAATAAACTGTCCACATTGTCACTAAACAAATATAAAAGTTAACATCGTAATTCATATAAAACGAACACATTCTGAGAATAAACACAATTGTCTGTATAACCGACAATAACATATTCCAACCATAAATATGATTGAAACTATCAACGAGATCACATAATTTGCGATGCATCTTGATGTACTGTTCAATTTTTCTTTGCCCAACGAAAATATCACTTGCATCCATACCAATTGTCATATTATTATACAAACGGAATCTTTTTAAAATAGAATAAACAATGAGGATCTTCAAAAACTCGATGAAGTTGATATTGTAGCTGCTGAAGGCGTCTCCACAATAAAACATAATATGCTCGTAAGGCGAATGGTTATATCCATATAAACAAAAGTCCAATGTGTACATCGAAAGAAAAACGATGTTTAAAGCTATATAGCTCAATGTAATATACTTCAGTGGATTGACTGTGATCTTATGCAATTTTTGAAAATCTTGATCAATTTCGTTGAATGTGCCAAATAAGTGTTTTATACTGTCGAGACGTAGAAAATTCAAGTTGATCATCATCTGCACATTCATGCATACATTTAGAATTGGTTGGATTGTATTTACAACGACGTTGTCATCATCTTCTGAAATAAGATATTCGTGATATGTATCGCATATCAATGCTGTAGTGGTAATTATTATGAGCACAACTGGCAGGGGTGGAAATATACGAAAATCGTTTTTCTTATGTTGATAGTGTGGCATTATGCCTAAAATTGTTGATGCCCGGAGGAATATGTGTATGTCTTCGGCTAACATGTTGGAAAGCTTTGTTCCTAATGGCGTAGAATGTTTTTTATATGTTTCTGAATCATATTGGTTATTTACTGTAATAATTGTGAACATTTGTCCAATTTTATTCTAATTTGTTAATGCATTATTCATAAAGTTGTTTTCTTGTTTTCTTTATTACATGAAATACAATTGTAAGCTTATTAATTAGCGATAATGGATTCTATGATGTAATTGTTATACAAAGTTACAGTATGGTAAACATCAGATATAAGATACTATTAGATACAAACAGGTACTATCACTATAAGTTCAACAGTACATCAGTCTCTTTCATCCTTTGCTTACTTAGGTTGATAAAATACAATAAAGAAGTACTTATTTGAATTAACATTGTTAAAAAATAATTCTATTGCCTTCCCTTGTCGTTATTGACTAACATTCACAGGTGGCCACAGTCCACATTTTCTGGCGTCTCATCTTCTCCCACTATTTAATGCGGGTTAGATAAGGTACAGATAGGATACAGAAGTGCAGCGTGCAATGCACTGCGCTCTCAGTTGTGCCTGAATCGTCTATGATTAAGAACAGCCATAATAACAAACAAGGAATTTAGTAGAAAAACACCTAAAGTTATGTGTTTCATTACTGGTACTTTGATGTTTTTTCGTGGGTAGAATGGAATAAGTTCAAGAAAAGAAGAGATGTTTATAGGAAATCAGATATTATTAGCAAACATTTCTTTTGCTTGGTAGAAATACAATTCTAAAATCCACATGTTTTTCAGTTCATTTGTTAATTAATAAATATGTTTAATTAGTTCCTTGGTAAACAATTTGTAATTCTAATATTTTTCCATTTTGATAACTTTTTATTCCATATTTACATAAAAACCATTGTATTAGTTTTCTTTTTTTGCACTTTGTGTAAACTGAATAAGAACAATTATATATGTTGTGATCAAATTAACAAACGTAAATATCATGGAAAAATCAACTTTGAAGAAACCAGCCGCTGTAAACTGAGGACTTCTTGCTGAAGTTTGTTGAGATAAAATCAACAATTTCTCTCTCATTGCAGGAATATTATTGTAACGCTGAAGTGCTTTAAATCCTAAAGTTATAGAGACTTTTCCTTCATCTGCGACTTTTTCACAAATTGTTGCAAATGCAATGATTTGAATCTGCAAATAATATTTGTTTTTATAAAGTAAATTTTACGAATTTAACTAAAACTTACTGTGTAATAAACTGCCCACATTGTCACTAAACCAATATAAAAATTAACATCGTAATTCATGTAAAACGCGCACATCCTTAGAATAAACACAATTGTCTGTATAACCGATAATAACATATTCCAACCATAAATGTGATTGAAACTATCAACGAGATCACATAATTTGCGATGCATTTTGATATACTGTTCGATTTTTCTTTGCCCAACAAAAATATCACTTGCATCCATACCAATTGTCATATTATTATACAAACGGAATCGTTTTAAGATAGAATAAACAATGAGAATCTTCAAAAACTCGATGAAGTTGATATTGTAGCTGCTGAATGCGTCTCCACAATAAAACATAGCAAGCTCGTATATAGCATGGTAATAGCCATATAAACAAAAATCGAGTGTGTACATGGAAATAAAAAGAATATTTAAGACTATATAGCTCACCAAAATATATTTCAGCGGGTGGACTGTGATTTTATGTAACTTTTGAAAATCTTGATCAATTTCATTAAAAGTATCAAATAAATGTTTTATGCTGTCGAGACGTAGAAAATTCAAATTGATCATCATTTGTACATTCATGCACACATTTAGGAGTGGCTGGACTATATGTATAATGGCGCTGTCCCCTGCTTTATGAAATTCATAATACGCACTACATATCATCGCTGAGGTTGTAATAATTATAAGAACAACTGGGAGGAATGGAAATATTCGAAAATCCTTTTTCTTAGGTCTGTAATGAGGCATTATGCCTAAAATTGTAGACGCTCGGAGAAAAATGAGAATATCTTTGGCTAACATGTTGGATAGGTATGTGCCTAATAACGTTGAATGTTTTTTAATATATGTTTCTGAGACGTATTTGTTATTTGCAGTAATTATTATGTTTGTCCAATTTTAACCTAATTTGTTAATGTAATATTCATAATATTCACGTTGTTTCTGGCATTTATGACCCTAAATACAATTGTCAGCTTATTAATTAGCGATAATGAAGTGTAAGATGTAATTGTTATGAAAAGTTGAAGTATGGTAAACAGTAGATATAAGATAAGAGTTGTTTCTCTTCCTGTTCCTTGCCCCTTACTTCTTTCCATTCATAAGATAAAGATGTTTTTATTAACATTAAATTAGCGGAAAAAACTTCTATTTAGTCTCCGCCTTACACCATTCAAGGGTCCACAGTTGCACTACCGCGCGCATCCATCAACGTAATTCCTAGCGACTTGTCTACCCCCACTACTTTATGCGGGTTAAGCGCAAGTCTAAAAGAGAAGCGTGCAATGCGTTCTGCGCTCAGTCGTGGTTATGTCGTCCAGTTATCCAGTTGCAGGTCTCTAGATTTTCACTTCTCCTTTTCTCTTAGCAATCGTATCGTTCTAGGTTCTTCCTACTATTCCTATTTTGTACAATTTGCTTCGAGTATATTAGATATACTAAAAATTACGTAGCTATTGCCTAATAATTTTGTCACGAATACTTGCATACCTGTTTTAAGAAGTATTTGCAAAAATATAAATAAAAAAGTAGTTTAGCTATACTAGCACATCATTGCGTTACATAATATTTAATTAAATATGACCTTCAACTCACTAGAAGGCCAGGTAGCCTCACAACAAACAAAGCTAACTAATATTATAAATTTGTAATGCGTGTTCCAAGTTTAGAAATACATAGTTACCAGTATTCACATGCCTAGAAATGAGTTAGTATCAATCGTACACGCAAACACACCAGACATAATTTTGTGCATTTTTTAAAAACAAAAAACGAAAAAAAATTAAAATGGAACGTTGGGTTGGTAAAGTAGCAATTGTAACCGGTGCTAGTTCCGGGATTGGTGAATCCATCGCTGAAAAATTAGTAAAAGCAGGAGTTTTGGTAAATATTTCCATAATAATCAATAACTATTGCAATAATCATTCAATCATATATAAACAGGTAGTTGGTTTAGCTCGACGTGTCGAAAACATCGAAGCAAACGCAAAAAAACTCGCAACTTGCAAAGGTAAACTCTACGCGATGAAATGCGACATGACCAAAGAGGAAGACATCATCAACGTTTTTCAATGGACAACAAAGAACGTCAGCTTGGTCCATATCCTAGTAAACAACGCCGGTGGTAATCCAGGAACAACTCTCATCGATGGTGACGCCAGTCGTTGGAGACAATGTTTCGAAACAAACATAATTGGACTTCTCACTGCGACACGCGAAGCGATTAAAATCATGCGTGACAATAACATCGAAGGACAAATTGTCAATATCAGCAGTGTACTAGCTCATTCCAATTGGTATTTTCCAACTATTAATGCGTTCGATGATGGATTCGTCTAAGTTTTTGAGGGCTAGTGAAGTGGCTGATACTGTTATGTATATTATAAGCACTCCACCGAATGTTCATATAAGTGAGATGATTGTTAGACCACGAGATTCTGCAACTCATTAAAAAAAAAAATGGTTGTTTGTAAAGTAGGTTTACGATCGAGATGTTTACGTGATAACGTCTTATTGGTGATATAAGTTTTGTTTGTTGCAATTGTTGTAACACTTCACTTGCACTTCACATTTTGTTTTACTGTTAGGCTTTTGTTTTTATCGGCCGATAAAAAGTTTGTAGTGTGCGGGGAGCCTAAGGTTATAACGAGAGGGGGGTATACCTGCGATCGGCCTCGTGAGGCCTCGCGACACAGTTTCTGAACAGTCACCCGACTAAAACGATTTTAAAGACGTTATCACGTCAAAAAGGGAGAAAATACAATTTACTTAGATTATAGAGAATATTTGTTATCAGGGTGGATGAAAAAAATTGCATATTGCGAATTATACTAAAAAATACAATAATATAAACATTTTTTGCACGCCACTGGTTTAAATGACAGTTTTTGTGAAGTTTTTTTGCTCAAAAATGACTTTAACGTCATCTACAATTAAATTACATAACTATAACTTATGATAAAATTACCTTCGCAATTTTCATCTCTTATTTTTCACTCTTTAAGTTATAATTTTAATAGAAAATTGCAAGAATAAAGATTGTTTAAAAACAAGAACCACGCAAGTTACAATAAAATATATACATTAATTTTTTTAATATTAGTTTATTCTGTATTGTTGAGATATTTGAATATATACAATCATATAGGCAGTGATTAAATTAACAAACATAAATAACATGGAATAATTAATTCTAAAGAATCCGCAAGCAGAAAATTGTGGCCGTCTTGCACTAGCTTGTTTAACTAGAATAAACAGCTTTTTATTAATAATAGGATTATTGTAATGTTGGTTAATAGCTTTGTATGACAATATTATTGTTTTATTTCCTTCGTTGACTACTTTTTCACACATTGTAGCTATCATTGCAAATAAAAACTAAAAAATAAATAAAAATAAATGAACAACTTTTGAGATCTAATCAAAAATATACTCACTCCTGAATTAATTGTCCACATCAAAACAAACCCAATGAAAACCTCATCATTAGCCTGATGCACTAATAAAAAGCACAATCTTAAAGAATATCCAAGTGTTTGAATCATTGATATCAACATATTGAAACCATAAATGTCGTTGAAAATTTCTACTAAGTCACAACAACTTGCATGCACTGAAATATAATAATCAACGGTTTTTACTGAAGAAATAATTGTTTCCTTTTGCAGTTGATTATTACAAACTCGAAATCGTAGTTGAATTGCTTTTATTATTAAATATTTCGTATATTCAGCGATTTGAATGTTGTACACAGACCATGGATCGCTTGAATAGAAACAAAAATGATGAAGCCAGTTACCTGAATCTGCATAGAAGTATAAATCAGCTGCATTCATGAACATCACCATGAAATGTACAAGTAATAATCCAACTGTTACGTATTTTAGCTTTGGTGATTCTACTTTAAGATTTTCTTGTAAATTTGCATCAATTTCATTGAGTGTGTCGAATAATCTTTGCACTTTGGGCAGTTTTATATTAACAGTGGTAATTGTCTGGATATAAAATACCCAATTGATCAAGGGTTGCACCCAAACATCTAAAATGTCAATTTCGTCGAAATGTTTATAATTCCAATAAATTTGTCTTATATTAGTAAGTGTACACCAGGTTGCAAAGATAACTGGTAGAAATAATAAAGTGCAGAATTTTTTCTTCTCTCTTTTGTAAAATGGTAAAATACCAAGCCAAGAAGTAAGATTTAATATTATTGATATGTTTTCAGCCAGCATATTTTAAAATAATTATAGTAATATACAGAAAATCAAACTTCATTGTTGATACAAGTTTGTTTTACGATTAAATAGTGGGAGTTTTGTATTTTGTTTAAAACTAGGGTAATTACTAAAGAATTACTGGTTTAAAGCTGCAAAAACAACAATGGACTCAACTACTTGTATTATTATTATTATTATTATTATGATTATTATTATTGTAAAACGCATTAATATATGATTTGTCGACCGACTTTCTCTCTGCAACCGTTTAACCATTTTTTTTACTTTCGTTCTGAGTAATTAACCGTGAAATATAAGTTTTCTTTACTTTTTTCATTATTTCTATTTATTTGTCTGTGAAAATTGTATGAAAAAAATCACATATGTTGTGATCAAGTTTACAAACGTAAACAACATGGAATAATCCACACTGAAGAAACCAGCAGCGGTAAACTGTGGACATCTTGCCTTTGCTTGCTGTGCCAAAATAAACATCTTCTGTTTTATTGCGGGTATTTTGTTATAACGATTCAGCGCTTTATACGACAGAATTATTGTTAAGTTTCCTTCGTAGACAACTTTTTCGCACATTGTTGCAATCACTACACACCGATACTAAAAAAGCAAATTATTATTTTTTTCAATTCTCAGCAATTTTTTTGAAGTTAATTGCTATTTTACTTACAGTTGAATTAATCGTCCACATTGCAGCAAATCCAGTCGTAACTGGATCATCTCTTACATATAACAGTAAGAAACACAATCGTAACACATACATTATTGTTTGCATCATCGAGACCAACATATTAAAACCATAAATGTCATTAAAAAGTACCACCAAATCACAACAGTTTCTATGTAATCTTATGTAATCATCCACTGTGTTCTGTCCAAGAAATAATCCTCCGTTATTTTGGTCTAATAAGCTATTACAAGCTTTAAATCTCAATAAAATTGCTTTTATGAATAAAAATTTAATAAGTTCGGTTGTTTGAATATTATAAACAGTCCATGGACCACCTGAATAGAAACAGAAATGCTGTAACCAGGTACCATCATCTGCATAGAAATAATAATCGACTCCATACATTATTAAAATCATTAAATTTGGCATAAAGATAAGGAAAGGAACGTATTTAATTTTGGGTGGTTGTACTTTTAAATTTTTTTGTAAGTCAGAATCTATTTGGTTGAAAGTATCGAAGAATTTCTGTACGCTGTTGAGTTTTACATGAACAAGGACTACGTTTTGTACGTAAAGAAACCAATTGACAAATGGTTGTATCCAAACATTCAAAGGATCAATTACCATATTTTCATAGTACCAATTAATTTGCCAAATTATTGCGAGTGTACACCAGACGATTAAGATAATTGGCATATATAGTAATCTACGAAATATTTTTTTCTTCCTGTCGTAAAATGGTAAATTACCAAACCATGAAGATATAAACATTATTATAGATATGTTGTTAGCCAGCATTGTGTCAAACAACTGTTTACTTAATTGTATTGTTTGCCTTTATTCATATGCTAGTTAATTAATTATCTATGAAATTTTTGTTTTTAACATAATCATTGAAGTGAATTTTTATGTTGAGAAAAAATAGAGACGTTATGAAGTACTGTTTTCATAAAATGTTTGTTGTAATGTTGTTGATGTTTTTGTTAACTTTATTATTTTGTAAAAATTGTATGAAAACAATTACATAATTTGTGATTAAATTAATTAATGTGAACAACATTGAGTTGTTTACACAAGAAAATTCCGCAGCAGTAAACAGGACATATCATGTGGTTGCCTGCGACACTAAAATAAAGTACTTTTTTTTTACTTTCACCTATAAAGTGGCAGTTTTTCCACGGTTATTAAAAGTGGTACTTTATATTCAGATAGCCAGCCAAGCCGTATGTAATAGTATACAGTGTTTCCAACTCTCAAAAATATTTATCCCTAAAGTTGGTGACAAAATTCTGATGTTTTCCCCCTAAAAAATACATAAATATAAATTCATAATGATTTAGAAATAATATATTGTAATATGTTGTAAAATGTTTTTATTGAAAGTTATTTAACACATTAAATATTTCATCTTCATCTGAAGATTCAGATTTTTTAAAATCATACATGTTAACATTAAATAAATTTAACATTTTAATGGATGGATTAAAAGTTACACAAGATCCATCATTTCGATTTAATGTAAATCGGACCATCAGGATGCTTTGCAAGTTACTATTAGTATATTAAGTAACAAGTGGCTAAACGAGTGCATTACGGAAGAGATTGATTCAGAGCGAATATAGCGCGGGTTAGTAAAGTTAGGAAATGTGATTGCTTTTAATTGTTATTAAATGTGGGCCGATCTCGGAGGTACTGCAATACCGAGCCAACCCGTGATGTGAGTGGAGCAAGCCCCTAACTCTCATCCATGTCCAAAAATCAGTTTAATATACTGGACCCGCATGCGGGTCGTATCAGATATTAAGCTGATAAGAACAGATACTACACTTTGATCTTAGCCGGAGCCGAGAAGCGATAACAAATTTTGGATACCTGCACATCTAAATACAAATCCAATGAGGTTTCTACCTGAGAAATTATTCACTGCCCTCTCTGAACAGAATAAGTAGGTAACACATATCCCCACCCCCTTAAAAAAGTGTTGATATGTAATTTGAAGATAAGACAAAGGATATTAATAATAAAAATTTCTGAAATATCACTAGCGGTTAAAAATACTGATCAAAAGCTGGAAAAGCAATTATGGACGGGACTAATTGCGTTTTTATTATTATTGTTGTTGTTATTATTATTATTATTACTGGCTGACCCGGCAAACTTTGTTCTGCCTTGCTTTTCACGTGCAATTTCTTGTTCTTCTTCAGTCCTTTCATTCGCAATCCTTTGAATCCTAGTTGCATTACGGTTTTGTCGGATAAGATTTGATCGTTTTGGTCGCTGCATGGGAGGCTACGAAGCATCGCACAAAGAAGAGACGGAGAAAACTCGTTTAGTAGGTATCTTCCAAAAAAAGTCTTCACTTCAAAAAGTATTAAAAAAAGTATCCTACACTTACTATGTCCTATTCAAACAAACACATCAACCGGGCAACTTCAACCAACACGTACACACACACGCAGGTCTATGCTTAGGGGGAAGCTACGAATCGCACAAAGAGGAGACGTTATTAGTGTGCTCTTTTTCTCCCGTAGGCTAAACCATATAAGCGAATATGTTTGTTTCCTTTTAGTGTCGTTTAGTGTTCTCTAAAAAAGTTTTCACTTCAAAAAGTATCCTAGTAACCTTCTCCAAACAAAAACATCAACCGGTCAACTTCAACCCACACGTACACACATACACACGTCTATGCTACGAAGCATCGCACAAAGGGAGACGGGGATAATAGAAAACTTTGTACCTATTTGTGTTCTCTTATTCTCCCGCAAGATAATCCATATACGCAAATATGTTTGTCTCTTTTTAGTGTCGTTTAGTGCCCTTTTAAAAAAGTTTTCACTTCAAAAAGTATCCTATTACCTTCTCCTGGCCCTAAGCTACCTCTCCACCAATTTTTAGCTAAATTGGATTAGCCGTTCTTTAGTTATAAAGGAGTTAACCAACACGACTTTCTTTTATATATATAGATTATTATTATAGTTTAATGCATCACCAGTATATGATATTTCAAAAAACTATTGTAAATAGCTCATAACATACACATTATAAATACAAAAATATTTCAATTTAAGAAGCATACTTTCTCAGTGCTCATATTAACTATATCAACGGCTTTTAGACACAAAAAGAGGTACTTTATATACAGACGGCCAAGACGTACATAATATTTAGCCATGCCGTCCATAATATTCATTATCTCTATCATTACTACTGTTTATTTGTCTGTGAAAATTGTATGAAAAAAATCACATATGTAGTGATCAAGTTCACAAACGTAAACAACATGGAATAATCCACACTGAAGAAACCAGCAGCCGTAAATTGTGGACATCTTGCCTTAGCTTGCTGTGCCAATATAAACATCTTCTCTTTTATTGCGGGTATTTTGTTATAACGATCCAGCGCTTTATACGCCAGAGTTATAGTTAAATCCCCTTCGTAGACAACTTTTTCGCACATTGTTGCAATCATCACACATTGAAACTAAAAACAATAATTATTTATTTATAAAATATATTTATTAAAATAATTTGTGATTTTTCTTGGATTTTACAATTTGTTTGAGAGTTTAACATGTTTCGCCCTGTGGGCATCATCAGAGGATGCCTTCTGATGAAACATGTTAAACCCTCAAACAAATTGTAAAATCCAAGAAAAATCACAAATTATTTTAATAAATATATTTTATAAATTTCTACCATGGATTACGTATTCAACTTAGAAAATAATAAAATTATTTATTCTATTCAATTTTTGCATATTTTACTTACAGTTGAATTAATCGTCCACATCACAACAAATCCAGTCGTAACAGGATCATCAGTTACATACAGCAGTAAGAAACACAATCGTAACACATACATTATTGTTTGCATCATCGAGACCAACATATTAAAACCATAAATGTCATTAAAAAGTACAACTAAATCACAACAGTTTCGATGTAATGTTATGTAATCATCAACTGTGCTTTGCCCAAGAAATAATCCTCCATTATTTTGGTCTAATAAATTATTACAAGCTTTAAATCTCAATAAAATAGCTTTAATGAATAAATATTTAATAAGTTCGGTTGTTTGAATATTATAAACTGACCAAGGACCACTTGAATAGAAACAGAAATGATGTAACCAGCTACCAAGATCTGCATAGAAGTAATAATCGACTCCATTCATTATCAAAATAATCAAATTTGGTACAAAGATAAGAAGAGGAACATATTTAATTTTGGGTGGTTGTACTTTTAAATTTTTTTGTAAGTCAGAATCAATTTGGTTGAAAGTATCAAACATTTTCTGCACGCTGTTGAGTTTTACATGGACAATTACAACGTTTTGTACGTAAAGAAACCAATTAACAAATGGTTGTATCCAAACGTCCAAAGGTTCAATTTTGTCCATATTTTTATAGTTCCAATCAATTTGCCAAATTATTGCAAGGGAACACCAGATGATGAAGATAATAGGCATGTACAATAATCTACGAAATAATTTTTTCTTCCGGTCGTAAAATGGTAAAATTCCAAGCCATGAAGATATAAACATTATTATCGATATGTTTTCAGCCAGCATTGTGTCAAACAACTGATTACTTTATAGCAGTGTTTACGTCTTTTAATATTCAAGATAATTAATTATCATTATTATTATTAATTTTTTTGTTTTTAACGTAATTATTGAAGTGAATTTTCATGTTGAGAATAATTTAGAGGTAATGAAGTATTATTTTCTAAAATATTTGTTTTAATTTTGCTGGCACTATTATTTTGTGAAAACTGTATGAAAACAATCACATAGTTTGTGATTAAGTTAACAAATGTGAACAACATTGAGTTGTCTACGCTGAAGAATCCAGCGGCTGTAAACTGAGGACATCTTGCGGCCGTCTGCTGAGATAAAATAAACAACTTTTGCTTCATCACTGGCATGTTACTGTAATGATAAAGTGCTTTGTATGATAGTGTTATAGTTTTGTCTGCTTCGTATACCACTTTTTGACACATTGCAGCCACTATTATACATTGTATCTACAAAATTATTATACTAACATATTATATATTTATTTAAACGGTATAAATACTTACAATTGCATTAAATGTCCACATTAAAACGAAAGCTATGAATATAAATTGTGGGGCATATAATACTGCTAGACACAATCGTAAAACGTAGATAATTGTTTGAAACATGGAGATTAACATGTTCAAACCATAAATTTCGTTGAATAGTGCCACCAAGTCGCACAAATTTTTATGTAATGTGATATACTGATCAATGTCAAATGTAGGCTTCCCAATATACGATACTTCTATGTTTTGTTCTAGTAAGCTATTGAAAGCTTCAAATCTTTGCAAAGTCGCTTTAATAAACAAGAATTTAACAAATTCACCAACGTGAATATTGTAGATAACCCAAGGACTTGAAGAATAGAAAATAACATGGTGATACCAAGGACCCACTTGTGAATTATAAAAGAAATCCAGCAATACCATTATAGCCACTTCTAAATTTACAATTATTATACCAAAATAAGCATATTTGAGCTTTGGTATTTTCACGTTTAAGTTTTTCTGTAAATCAAAATCAATTTTGTTGAAAGTGTTAAAAAGCTTTTGCACAGTGGTTATTTTCACATTCACTATAAATATGCTTTGGAAATAAAACAACCAATTTACAATTGTTTGAAGAAAGCCATCTATACGTTCCAGCAGATTCGGCAATTCAATGAAAATTTGCCAAATATGCGCAAATGTTGTACAGATGAGGAAAATAATTGGCAGAAATAAACGACGATAGAATTGTTTTTTGTTTGTGTCGTAAACTGGTAATATTCCAAGCCAGGAACATAATTTTATTATTAGAGATATGTTTTCGGCGAGCATTGTTTATGGTAACTGTTTGTTTCAAATTAATAAGTTACTTTTTTATTGAACTGTTCATGTTAATTAATTACTTCGGATATTTATCTTTTTATTAATAGGGAATTGTATAAGAGATATTTTCTTTGGATAATATTTCCAACGTTTTAAACTTATGAAACAAAATAAACAAAATTATATCTTTAATTAACTTATTAGAACGCTAGATGGCGTTGAATCTTAATTCGAATCATATTCAACGCCATCTGGTGTTTACTTTACTCAAACTTTTGAGACTTTTGAAAACAAGTGATTTTTTGTGTCCTATTATTCTTAGGAATATCCTAGAAAATACATGTACAAAATTTCATGAAGATCGGTTGAGTAGTTTCCACGTGAAAGCGTAACAAACAAATAAACAGGCAAAAAAACTCACTTTTGCATTTAAATTATTAAAGATCTTCATGTCACGCAAATTAATAATTTCATTGTTATAAAAACGTTTCATTGTATCTTAATATCTCACATTTATTGATGTATATGTCAAAATATTAATTAACTTATAATTGTATTATTTTGTATTACATTTTCACATGCATTGCAATTACCACTTTGAGAAAATTGTATAATAACAATACAATAAGTGGTTATCAAGTTTATAAACGTAAACAACATGGCTATATCAACATAGAAGAACCCAGCAGCCGAAAATCGCGGACTTCTTGCAGTTGCTTGCTGCGCGAGCACAAAAAACTTTTCTTTCATACCAGGTACATTCCCATATCGATACAGAGCACCGTACGCAAGTGTCATTGTCTTCTTTCCTTCATTTACCACTTTTTCACACACTACTGCAATAACCACACCTTGAGTCTACAAAACAAAATGATTTAGAAGGTTATGTACAATGCGCATGCGCAATAGCTTACAATCGCATACAACATCCACAACAAAATAAACCATAATATCGTACGATCGGAATTTTTCTCAATCAATACAATACACATTCGTATTATATACATGACACTCTGACAGACTGAAATCAACACCTCTAAACCGAAAATATTGTTGAAAAGCTCCACAAGATCACAACAATCACGATGTAGTTTGATACAATGTTCAACTGATTTCTTCCCAGGGAATATTTTACCCGTTTTACTATCTAGAAAGATATTAAGGACATGGAAACGTTTTTGAATTGCTCTCACCAATAAAGCTCTGATGAATTCACTTAAATGAATGTTGTAGATGCACCACGGTGCACTTGAATAATAAACTACAAGACTCAGACGAGGTGCATTATATTCGTATAAAAAATAATCCACGAGATTCATTGTCACATAGAGTACATTCACGGTCAAAACACCCAAACTAATTAATTTCAGCGTTGGTGGCTCCAACTTGAGGTTATGTTGTATGTCATAGTCAATTTCGTTGAAAGTATCAAATAATTTTTGTATGCCTGTTATTTGCCTGTTTACATTGATCACGATTAATATGTAATAACAGCAGTTGACAATTGGTTGAAGCCAAACGTGTTGAAAGTCAGTTCTTGCTTTCGTGTCATATTTATATTTTATGCGTAAACCAATTGCGCATGCGCACCAGGTTGTGAGAATAATCGGCATGAATAGTACTCGACGGAATTGTTTCTTCTTTTTGTCGTAGAAGGGCATTATGCCTATCCATGATGAAATGTTTAGAAATATTAATATATCGTCAGCTAACATTCTTTTAGTGGAGTTGTTTTCTTGATGAAGTTGTTTTTCCAATTGATTCTAATTGTGAATCAACATCAATTTCATTAAATATTTTTTAATTTCACACCTGTAGGTACTAGGTACTGATATTATCATAAATGTAAGTGTTGGTAATTACTAATTAATTTTGAATATTTACAATATCAAGTCTACAATTGAATATAAGCTACGTATTCTTGATCTTTTTCAAAGGGAAATAATGTTGAACAACATATTTTTCCACTTCCACCTTTAAAGAGCTAATTTTTCCAAGGTTTTGAGATACAAAAGTGGCTTTCGTCGTCCGTGTCTAAAGTACTTTAGTCTTTAGCTTTAGTCTTAGGGCGGAGCTGGCGCCTGCGCATTTCCTTTCGGAACAGCACAAGATCATTTATAACCTCACATTTTCCAGTAGTATTCAAGCAAATTTCGAAAATTTAAAATACAAAAGTTTATGTACAAAAACCACAACATCGAAATAGAAAGAAAGTAAAAAAATATTGTAAGCATCACGTGACTAAACGTTGTTAAACACTTGATAGATTAAACGCTTGATACTTAATATACTATTACGCATAGACAGAATCCCTACTAATATTATAAATGCGAATGTCCTGATGTTTATCATGCTTTCACGCAAAAACTACTTAACAGATCATCATGAAAATTTGTACACATATTCTTAGTGGTCCCCGAAAGGTTATAGGCTACTTTTTATTTAATAAAAAAAAATATTTTTTAAATAAAATAAAGAAATTGTTTAGTTAATAATACCTCTGCATCTGGTTATTTGACTAGTTTAACGTCATCTAGCATTCCAGCAATGAAGCTCAAACCTAAGTACTATAGTACCATCATACTGTATTACCGACAGCTACGTCAACATCAAATCCAATTGACTACCCTATGGAGACTGTACACTATACTTCCATAGACTATACTTTCAGCCATTTTAAACTTCCCGCCATTCTACTTCATTGTTACTTCTTCTGTGACTACGGACGCGTACGGAAGCAACTTCATTGATTTCTAATATTTATTTGATGGATTCAACGCGAGCGAAGCCGCGGGATAAAGCTAGTACAGAATAAAACTTTATTTTTTTTAACATCTAAATACATATTTTATAAATATCTAATTAAATACATTGTAGATAATAAAATATAACCTAAACATTTTTTGTAGTGACATTTTGTAGTCCATTTTCACATCCATTTGTATTCCCACTTTGTGAAAATTGTATAATAACAATAACATAAGTAGTAATCAAGTTAACAAATGTAAATAACATTGAAAAATCAACACTAAAGAATCCAGCGGCTGTAAACTGTGGACATCTCGCAGTCGCTTGCTGTGCCAAAACAAAAAGCTTTTCTTTCATCGAAGGAACATTTCCATAACGATACAGAGCTTTATAAGAAAGTGTTATAGTTCTTTTTCCTTCATCCACCACTTTTTCGCACATAGTAGCCACTACAACACCTTGAACCTACAAACAAAATCATAGATGTATAGTATACATTTATGCGCATGCGTGGTAGCGCATACAACAGCATATGAAGTCCGCATTAAAACAAACCAAAACATTCTAGCATCCGAAGTAATCAATAAAAAACACAATCGCAGAATATACATAAATGTTTGCATGATGGACACTAAAATTTCTAATCCGAATAAATCGTTAAAAATGGCCACCAGTTCACAACAATCCCGATGTGTTTTGATACAATGGTCTATAGATATTTGCCCAGGAAATAAATAATCTGTTTTCGCATCCAAAAAATTATTAAAAACACGGAAACGTTTTTGAATTGCCGTTGATAATAACATTTTAATAAATTCACTTATGTGAATGTTGTAGATACCCCACGGTGCACTTGTATAGTAAATAAAGTGAGTATATAAAGTTGCATCAAACTCATATAAAACAAAATCCGCCACATTTATCGCCACGAATATGAAATTCACAAAAAATGCACCCAGAGCAACACAATTTAATACTGGCGGTTTTGTATTAAAATTGTTTTGTAAATCAGAGTCGATTTCGTTAAAAGTGTCAAAAAACTTTTGTAATATAGTTATTTTTAGGTTTACGTTTACTACAATAAGTATATAATAGCACCAACAGATCAACGGATGCAACCAAACATGTTGCAGATCAATAACCGGTGATATTTCATATTTTTTAATTATCCGCGTAACTATCGCGATTGAACACCAGGTTGATAAAATAATCGGCGTGAATAATTTCCGGCGAAAACATTTTTTATTTCTGTCGTAAAAAGGCATAATGCCAAGCCATGAAGAAATATTTAGAAAAATGATTAAATTTTCAGCCAACATTATTGTGACTTGAACTTGGAAATGGTGAAAATTTTTATCAGGTGTTTTGTAACACCTGGCTTCAATTAATTATCCAAAGTAATCAACTATATTGATGTTTATATTAAATGTTTGTATAATGTTGTATAATTACTAATTAAAATACTTACGAATGGTTGTAAACAATTGATTGCAATTTGCATAAAGCGTAGTTTCCAGTGAGTTTTCGCCATGATCATAATCACAACATGCATTAACCTCAAAATATAAAACACCATATGCACGTACATCAAGAGTAAAGTCCATCCAAATACAGAATTGAATAAATCAATGGCGTCGTATATACAGTCGGCCATCTTGGTCACACTATACACATAGTCAGGTGTCAAATTGTTACGAATATCCAATGCATTTGTATTAATTTTTTCCATGCGTAATTTGATAGAATAAAGTAAAATTATTATAAAGTGTACGATAACATTGTACAAATATTTGCAGGTTATGTCAAGAGCTAATATGTACGTAAACTTAGCTTGGAATAAATATAAAATGGTGGATAGCACTAACAAAATGGTTGCCACACCGCTAGTCAGTATAAACACAAGACGTACGTTTGAAATTACAACTTCTGATTTACTTCCACACAGTTTATCGAATTTCACAAAACGATCAAACATAGTTTGTAGTTGTTTGATTTTTATAATATGTGTAGACATTGCAAAGTTTATAACAATCATGTTCATAAGAATCACTTGCAGTAGTTTAGTCATGGCATCATTGTACAACGCGGAAATGACGTTTATGTCAGTACCTACTAATACATAGGCAGCCGTTATTACACAGAATAAAAAGAAATGAAATGCAAAAATGACGCGGCGTGGTGTAAAAACGCCATTACACACAGGCGGTAATAATCCAAGAATTGTACAATTCATGATGAACCATTTGAGGTTATCATACACCGCCATTTTAATTTCGCACTGAAAAATTTAACAGGTTGCGGTAAACTGAATAAAATATTAACTGAACAAAAAAGAGCGATTGATCAATAAATGCTAACGTTGCCAGCTTGTTTTATGATGAATGACAAACTGACACCTTAAACTAATGATGAAAATGTGTTATTATTGTTGACTTTATGAATGAACCCATAAATCATACATAATTTATATATTTACATGTTTAATGAAAAAGGCTATCAAATTTAAGTTCAAGAAAAACATTAATTACTAGAAGTATAGGTGTAGATATAATGATTAGATCGTTAAAATAAATTATTAAGTAATTTCACAAAAGCTGTCCGATGGCAACTGACATAGCAATAAAATGGAGGACAGTTTCATAATGTAACTGTTAGTATTACAAGATATTTTGTGATTAAAAGCTATGTTATTTTAGTATATATTATGTAACAGAATAAACAATTATATAAATTAAACTAAGCATTGAGTGTTGTTTCATTTTGTACTCTAGTTGAATTGCCAATGTTAGAGGTATTTCCACTTTGCGAAAATTGAATAATAACAATAACATACGTCGTAATCAAATTGACAAAAGTAAACAACATTGAAAAGTCAACACTGAAGAATCCTGCGGCTGTAAACTGTGGACATCTCGCGGTTGCCTGCTGAGCTAGGATGAATAGCTTTTCTCTAATGGCGGGAACGTTGCTATAACGATACAGAGCTTTGTATGAAAGTGTTATCGTTTTCTTTCCTTCATCGACCACTTTTTCACACATTGTCGCCACAACAACTCCTTGAACCTACAAAAATATAAATTATTAGTATATTTTCATCATATTACACCTAAAAACAAAAATATTTTCTTCAAATTTAACAAATTTAAGGTTATGTTAGGTTAAATTTTAGGTTAGGATCATGTAACTTACAATAGCATTAATCATCCAGATCAGTACAAGCCAAATCATTGTAGGTTCATAACTTTCACCTATCAAAATGATACCAAGCCGTAAAAAGTACATAACTATGTGAATCATAGACATTAACATGTGTAAACCAAAGATATCATTGAAAATGACAACAAGATCGCAACATTTACGATGTAATTGAATATGTTCATCAATTGCTCTTTTCCCTACGCATAAGACATCAGCGTCCACGTCAAGAATTCGATTAAAAACACGGAAACGTTTAAGAATGGCGTTTACAATTAAAACTTTCGTAAATTCACTTATGTGGAAGTTGTATATTGCCCAAGGTGATCCTAAATAGAACTGAATATGCTTAAAAACAGAAGCTGGATATCCATAAATAAAATTGTCGATTATATTCATGCCCAAAAAGACAAAATTGACTAAAACTGCACTTAAAGTTATGAATTTTAGTTTTGGTGGTTCGATTTTTAGTCTTTCTTGTAGGGTAGTATCAATTTCATTAATAGTATCAAAGAATTTTTGAACGCTGTTTACTTTAGCATTAACTTTGATAACGATTAGAACGTAAGATATTAAATTAATCGCCATGTGAATGAAAACATTTCGGAAAACAATTGCACCAGACTCGTTGTATTTTCGTATTATTCGCGTAAGCATTGCAAATGTACACAGAGTTATAAAAATGATTGGCGTGAATAAAACGCGTCGAAAACATTTCTTTTTTCGGTTGTAGAAGGGTAATATACCAAGAAATGAGGAAATGTTTATGAAAATGATGGTGTTTTCCGCTAACATTATAGTAAACAACTGTTGATCGATACCCGATGAAAGAAACAGTAAAATTCATTACTTAATTTAATACTATCCATAAACATGTAGAAAATAACTTATTTAAGTAATTACTGATTATTAGTGATCTGCCCTGTCTGTTGACGGTAATAGTACGTACTACTCATACTACACGCCATCTAGGATCAAATAACGTAACTAATACTATAATTTATGTCGTATACAAACTTTCAACCCCCATTTCACCCCTTTTAAGTTATGTTTTGTTGTAAAAAGGTAGTCTATGTCTCTTTCCACGGTTTAATCTATTTTTATTCAAAAATTCATCAAAATTAGTTCTGTGGTTTATGCGTAAAAGCGTGTCAAACATACATCCTAACAAATTTTAAAGGAAAATTTACGTAAACTTACCACAACATACAAAGTTATCGCAAATAAACCAATAATATTCCAATATTCTTTAACTCTTGCAAATAATATCAATTGAACAAGTTTTAGAAGACACACAAAAACATGCAGAAAGCAAAAAAGAAAATTCCATCCGTAAACTTCATTTATGCCATCAACCAGATCAAACAACAATGTTTGCATCTTAACAAAGTTCTCAACAGTGGATATAATCAATTCACCACTATTTAAACGTTGTATCCATTTATTTCTATCAAGAGCTCTTAATTTATTATTAAAATAAACAAAACGCTTAAATATGCCATAAAAAAAGACACTTTTTATAATCTCCATTATATAAACCACATATTGCAGTAGTCTTTCACTGAAGTAATAATGATAATGCGCAGAGTGCCCCAACATAATTCCAAGAACAAAATAATTGTAACAAAATATGAGACCAATAAAAATATGACTTAAAATAAATAAAACCATAGGGTATTTAATAATCGTTAAGGTTTCGCTTCTGGTTTTGAAGGTTTTCTTAAAAAGTGTTTCTAATAAATTAAAATTATGAAATATTTGTTTGAAGATTCTACGTTTTGTGTAATTACAAGTGATTGCAAATGAAATGTATATTATAAAAGTGAATAATGGCGAAATCATTCGTACGAAATTTTCACCTTCTTCCATGTTTTGCTCATGATGAATTTGGATTAGTAAAACAGAGCAATAAACAAAAATAACAATTTGAATGAATATTACGAATGTTACGTAGATTTGATTGATATGTTTAGGAAATATCCCGAATAAAACACAAATTTTTAGGAATGGCGATATGTTTTCAAATATCACCGACATTTTCACTCAATAAAGAACCAAACAACAATGCAAGTTATAAAAAAAAACGTGAAATTTAATTAGGTTAATGGTGCAGTGGATTAAACGATTAATTAAATCAACTGTTTATGTGCATTTCTTATAGAAAGTAATTAAAAACAAAGAATTAGGTTACGTTTACTTACTGTAACGAATAAAGTCCATCCACAGATACTGAGTGAATTTAAAAAGTTCATCTCGAAATTATTTTTTCCAAGCAATGAAGAAATAGAAGCCAAAATACTTAAAACTGCAATAATTATCACCAACAACATTTGCCATTCGAAAAGCTCGATGAAATTATCAGTTATATCACACAATGCGTTGTGCAGTGACACCAAGTTATCAGTTTTTAACAATTGATCTTGTTTTACATCGGTTCTACCATAACCAACAACTAATTTACCATTAGGTAGGTTTTCATCTATATTATCAAGATCATCTGACACTTCAATGAAACTATTTATGTTCTTGCTACGTTGTAAAATACCATCAAGTAAATTGACAATAAGAACAACCAGGAGTGTCATTAGAAAACACGAAAATATGTCAATGATATAAAACTTGTACTCATCCCAGTTTTTCACCAAATAAATCCACATGTAATAATCTCTTGCAATAAGTATTGCCATAACAATAAAAACTGCAATGAATATTAAAAGATTCCATTTGTATGGATAGTTTATTTGTTTTTTATGTAATTTTATCAGGCTGTTGTCCAAATGGTCGAAATCATTGAATATTGTTTGAAAAATATCAAAATATTTAGTTGCAAACAGTATCATTGCGAGAATATTGCTTGTAATAGCAAAGCAAGTGATTAAAATGTCGAAAACAAATGTGAAACCAGAAAAATGTTCGTCAATTGATCTGTTGGCAATGCAGAACCCTGCCAAACCAATTAAAGTGGCCGACATCAAAAACGGATAAAATTTTATCGCTGTGAAAGTCACAGAGCGTGAATTTGACGTTAACGAACGAAATGGAAACAAAGAAAATAATGCACCGCATAATAGAACTAACTTTACTTGTGTTACGACTGACATTGTTATTAACCCTAAAGCTGCGTAAGTTTGGGAAGCTTTTAATGTAATGGTCGACGATGTGGTGTTTATAAAGCTTTCGGTGACAAAAGAAAACTGAAACTAAAAGCTAAAAGGGAGCATTAATCAAATGGGTACTTTGTAATTAGATTGAAATAAAACTGGGAAAACTGGGCAATTATTTATTATTGTTATGATTTATGAGGAAAACATAGTTTTATTTCATAATATGCATGTTCATTTTCATATTAAATCGGTGTTGTGTTACGATATAATCTTATTATTGACATGCTTCGTCTAATTGGCTTTGGAATGGGAGGGAAACAGAAGAAAAACAAAAAAATGTCAATTAAGCGAAACACGTCAATAATTTCATATAATATATATCGTAACATAACACTGATTCAATATGGAAATAAATATTATATATGATTGTTTATACAAGATAAAAATAAAAAAATAATATTGGCAGGTACACGATTAAATAATGTGAACGTGCGATCGTTGCAGGTCTCCTTCATGTTTGCTATCAGACGTTGCTCGTGGTTCTGAAGGAATCGCAAGTCCAATAATTTTGTGATCATATTCGTTTTCAGCACGTATTACTTGAGCGTATGCCTGAAAAAATATTATATTATTATTTTATTGCAACTTATTGTATATTTCTTGTAACAAAGTATCTTGTCAACAATAGTGACCTTAGATATCGATGGTCTACACCACGAAGTATAGAGTAAAATAAGATAAAGTCAATATAAATTGATAAAAACTGCTATTTGGTTAGTGACAGAGCGCAAATCACATATAATGAGTTTATTTATGATAAAATTCTACTAATCATTCACCTACTCTTTACTTTTCTTATTTTATACAGATTTGCATGAAACTTCAAGCATGAAATGAGATAAAGTGGACGTGAGTTGATAAAATCCGCTACTGCGATAGCCAATATTTACAAAACATTACAAGAACGATGTGGTAAACTCGCGGGAATATTTTTAGTCAAAAAGGACATTCTAGCGACATCTCGGAATATTTTTAAGAGTTCAGTTTAAAATCGTATGTTTGTGTTATTGAATCAGCGTTTCTGCTGAGACGAGCAAATTCGAACAAGAATCTTGTTCATTGCATGAAAGTTAAATATTCTCAGTTTTCAACTTTTCAGTTGTCAATTCCTCAACTCATCAGTCATGTTCAGATTGTTACAAATTGGAGACATGCGGGTCTAATAAAAACATAATTGTTATAAAAGTTAGTAACCCACCCCATTTGAAAAAATCTATTTTATTTCTATGTAAAATTATACGGCAGAGAGAGGTATGTACCTACTTATTTTGAGTTTTTTAAGCATTAATTTTTTGCACTTTAAATTGCAGACCGTTAATATATTCGAATTAACTTAGTCATGGAAGCAAGTAGTGGGCTAAAGCTAGTAATTTATAAAGGATAATTTTTTTTACCTCATTGCGGAACAAACATTGGTGTGCACATGTTTGATAGTATCTTTTATATTTGCTTTGTTTTCGAGGATTAAATCCGTTTCTCCGACGCCGTAGTAATTCATTCTTGGGACCCCACAATGGATCCGATTTAAAAAGCCCCAGGATATCCTAAAAATGCCTTTTAACAATAAATTACGATTGGAAATAATAAATTACCCGGAAATATATTTTTCTCATGGTTATTATAGTCCCATAAAGAATAACAGGCGAGAAAACAATCATAATTGTGACAAGACGTATCATAAAAAATGGATGTGACTTGTAAAAATATTCGATTGGTGTTGTAAGCTGTTTTAAGCATATAATTAAGCATAATTAATATTATTTAAACATAAATATTGTGTGTGTTGGTTATACCATCATTAAAACAGGTGATACAACCCAAGTTATCTTCCAAAACACAGCTGGTTGTTTGCCAGTCATAAACTGAATATCATCCCCTAGTCGTTTAAATCCGTAAATATAAACAACCATCACTGTCAGCAGGATTAGATTCAAATGTTGACAGAACGAGTCGATTGCCATGGTCAAATCAAAACGGATTTCATATATTTCTTTTGTTTGAACTAACATTCCAAAAATGAAACCCACAAGACAAAAAATAGGACAAACGTATTTGTAATACGATTGCATTCCAGCAAAGCGTTGATAAAGTGATTGTTGCATGAATGTTATATTAATCACACACCAAACTAAATAAGTAATAATATTTGTAAAAAAGTATAAAATTACCCATGCTTGTGACTTTTCTAAAACAGAAAACACAATAAACACAATAAAAAATGTGAATTTGTTAGGTTAGGTTAATTTAGGTTAAACAAGGTTATGTCATGTGTTACTTACTTAAAAGTCCCAGTGATGCAGGTGATATAATTAAAGAAAATGGAGCGTGTTTCTTAAAAAACCAATTCACATTCTCTGGATCAATTTTAGAATATTCAATCAACGTCAACACAGCACCTTTGAGAAGAATAATTTCTAGAAAAAGTATCCAATAACCACTAATAGCTCCAATAAAGCTCAACGAGCCTGTTTTTGCTTTGAAGGAAGCAAAAACCCCAAACATAATATAAGTAAAGTCACCAAGCATCATAGAACTGATAACTCGCGAAATACTTCCAATCCAAGCCTTGAAATAAAATATTAATAATGTATCGTGTTGAATAAAGTTTTGATTAAGTTCTTACACCACTATCAAGCCAAGTATCCGGATTAATGATGATCACTTCAGCTAATAATTTGTAAAATCCCAAAGCATGCGAGTATTGAAAGTAAAACATTAATTTTGCAATAACGGAGATGATAACAAGAATTTGCACACTCTAAAATAGTAAATTTATTGTTAATATTTATAACATAAGTGTTTTATGATGAATTCGAACCTTTTTGACGCTTTGAAACTTGACACTTGTCAAGAAATAAATGCACATCCAGCTGATGAATGTAACCAGTGTTTTTCGATAATCTGGAGCTCCAAATGTTGCTTTGTGCATTGGATAAGCACCTCCCATGTATGTTTGACTGCAAAACAATCAAATTATCCATTCAATAAATCAATATTTATATATTTATATAGTGTAAATAATTACTTCCAAAATATATACGTTGGTAACAATTTGTTTGCATCCATACAAGGTTTTTCTACCGTACAATTCACTTTAAAGTCCCAACAGACATTTTTATATTTTGGTGGGCATAAATTCCACACATCTTCGGATGGAGACAGTGCAAGAATCAAATAAACTAAATTAGTTTCCATCTCGGTGACTATAATAATCGTCAGTGTAAATATTGTTAAGAAGTAAGTGTAGCTGATTCCTTGTGCCACAGGTAACATTCGTCTGATTAAAAATATTCCAATGTTTGTGTATTGTCCCAGGATTAACTGTACGTAGCTTATTGGTATTCCAACGAGGAAATATATAATCAAATCTTGTACAAAGTTCAGTTCTAGAATTATTGTTTGTTGTGAAATCATTATAGGTTAATCGATTAGTAAAATACTTTGAAAATGGACGAAAATAACCAAAGTTGAATGTTTTCCAATACAAAATGCGACAAATTCCGCGTAAGATGTCCATTTTTCGTCTTTCGAAAATTTTTCTTTGGTTTTCTGGGCTGTTTTTTGTTCCACCAAAGATGTTTCGGAAGGAAACATTTCCGGTGTTAACGGATAAGTAGGCATCTTGAAATGATTCAAAGTTGAGTATAAAGGAAGGAAATTGATCAGGACCAATTGTCAATTGAATATTTTGATAAACTTTGGCGTTTGTATTGAATTGTTTTGTTGTCAATGTAATTAATCAAAGTTGGCACATTGATTTCTTTTTATTTCATGTGTATACCACATTTAATACATATTCATTTAACAATAAAGTCTCTAAAATTGGCACATTCAATATAATCATTAATAAAATATATAATTCAATAGAGAACAAAGAAATAACAAAATTCTATAGAATATTTCTACTTTCAATCACTTGTAAACCACCAATAAACTCAATAAAAATTTTATTAATAGCAACGTCGACGATTTTTTATTCGTCATCGCTGGATTGCGACTGATAACTTAGTTGTTCACTCCACCAATCTCTTATCTCATGCATAGCATTGTTAACTTTTGGTAGAGTTGATTTGGTGTTGTACATATCTCGAGGCATGCGATTTGCTTCACTGTTCTCGCTAAGATGAGCCAATGTCTTACTAACAATAGTTGGAAAGTGAGGAACACTCTCTGAATTCGTTTTATTAGCAATACGAATCACCGCTGGTCGATTATTCTTCTTTTTAGTCGATAAACGTTCTTTATCAGTCCGTGCCGCTGGATCAGATAAAGTTGGTGCAAGATATTTCCTTCCGGAATTACTACCGATACTATCTGATCTTGGTAAGTTGATTTGTTTGGGTTTAACACGCGGCGGTGCTTCATTTTCTTTCTCACCGTCACTCTCACGATCAGGTGTACCATTTTTCACTTCTTCTGGAGTGTCCAGAACCTGTAGAACTTCGTTTGTTGCTCGGAGACCAGCAATCAAACTATTTTGTTTGTTCTAAAACAAAATTAAGTTAATATTTACTTTAAATGTTAATAATTTAGTTAATAATTACATTTTGGGAACGTATCTTCTTTAAACAACCTTCAAGCCATGTTCTTATTGTTTGCTTAGCTACTTCTTCTTCAATAATATATTCAAACTCTTCTCTTGCAAGGAGCTCTTCTAATTGTAGTGCTTTTCTTATATCCACAGAACGATACGACAACATACTAAAAGAAAATATGAATTAATTCATTCTATAATTACTTTTGAATAAAATTAAGTTACTTGATGACATCATGGAATGTAACATCTTCTCCATTGTGTAAACGTTCCAATTCATAACACATATGTTTAAAAAGCAGTCTATCTTTTTGTGGATCTACTTCTAAGCGTCCTTTGAGTAATCGTAGAATGAACTTTACTCTCCTGACTGGAATAACACCACGTTGATGAATGTCTACCACGTTCCAAGTGTTTTGAAAGTTTCTTATGTCAGCATACGAGAGTAATGCGTCTTCTTCATTGGAATAAAACAGGGAAAAGTTCTCCATGATAATAGCTGCAATTAAATATGCAAATATTGACTTTGTTTTACTTTTGTAGAGTAAACCATCTTACCCACTAGTAGATTTAGCACGATATAAGTGATTATAACATAGAATGTGCAGAAGTAGATTAATGAACCACTGAAGTTGCCACAATCGGTTTCCCAATAGTTATCAGCAGGTGTGCAATATGGCGGTTGGACCATACAGTCATGCATTATTTTATTCCAATCTTCACCTGTTACTATTCTGAATAACATGGCGACGCCAGTCACGGCTGATTCAAAATTTGCTCGTCTACCGATGCCTTCTCCATATTTAACTGTACCGAATATTATAGTACCAGCCAAGGCGTAGAAAAACACCAGTAAGAACATTCCAAAGATGATAAAGAAGGATTTGCAGACTGAAACACCCACTGTTAACATTAACATCTTTAAAGTAGCGTGTTTTCCAGTAATTGTGAAGAATCTCAGTATGACCACCATGAATCCAATAAAATATGATAAATCATTCTAAAAATTGTATTTTTAGTTATTATAAACAACATATTTTAAATGTTTTTCATGATTTACCGTAAATGCAGCATGTGAAAACACCCAAACGACTCCAGTGACAGTTACAAACAAATCATAACGATTTCTTCTTGATTGAAGATATCCACGTGGTGTAAACGCAATATTTTTCATCACCACTTCCACTACAAACATTAATATGCACGTGACATTAATATATGCTAGGATTACAGTGTAGGAATGTTCTTTGTTCCACTGTAATATAATAAAACAAGTTTTAATAATGTAAACACTATTTTTGAAAATGGTACTCACTGTAACACTGAGTAATGAACTATTAATCAGCACCATAACTGCCACAAGCCTTTTAAACTTCAAATTCTGTGTAATATCATAGATAAACGCTCTGAATTTTTTCCCATCTGGCCTTGGTGGTAAATGCAAAGGTTGAGCAATCTTCAAACGCTTCTTCAAATCACACCAACGTCTTTGATCAACAGTGAGTAAAGCAGTGCCTTTGTTCTCTGAATAGTTAGCAATAACTACGCCGACGAACAATGTCAAACCAATCATGCAGCCTATGAAAATGTAGATGTGGATGTAGATAGCATGAACTGGTCCCAACGCTTTGATGAGAACGTCCCTAACATCCAACCATCCTTTGAAAGATAATACTTCAAACAAAGCCAGCATTGCATCTCCAATATTATCAAAATTGAAACGTTTTGGATTGGCCCACACTCGTGGTACCAATATTGACGGATAGGATTCATCTGGTCCTGGTTTCAACTTCATTTTGGTTACGAATACTCTCCGCATGAAGACACCAACACAATCTGCACGTTTCTGAATTGTCGGGTCATTGCAACGAGCCAATCTTCCTCCATACAACTGAACACCGTAACTTGCAAACACAAACATCAACAATATAAGTAATGTTGATACTAGCAAAATCTCTTTGAATCCTCTGCATAATTCCGAAACCACTTTTCTCATGTGTGGAACCAATGTGAATATCCGTAACGGTCTCAAACATCGTAGAATCATCAGTAGTTGTGCACCGGATTTAGGTGGGACTTTTCTTGGCATCCAGATTAAAAATACAAGACTTACAAGGTAAATAAACACATCCAAAATGGCTGCACAATCTTTGATGTATGCTTTCGGAGTGAAGAATAAACCATCTGCTAGTATTTTCAAAGCTAGTTCCATGCTCATGAAGATAACAAAACTGTATTCAGCTAATTGTAGGCTGTAATTTTCCATTACACGATAGTAAGGTGTTTCAAACATCATGGAGAAACATGATAATGTTGTCATCATTACCATTACCCAATCAAGGTAGGTTACTAGTCCCAAAAAGTTACTGAAAACGTTTTATGTAATAACATTTAAAAGCAATGTTTAATTTTAACTTACTGTAGAGTTTTATATTGTACTTTTCGTTCTTTTCCCGTCAAAGGATCTTTTAATCGAGCATCATACCTTGCATACACAATCAATTGACATATTTTCCTGAATCTACTCTCACGAGGTACAGCAAATAATGGCGTATCAAAGAAGGGATGATTCTCACGCAAATCTTCCTCCCGTTGATTCCTCCTCATTTCAGCTTGTTGTCGTTTTGCCTGAAGTAGTTTAATATCCAAATCATGAGGCCTTGCACGTGCAGATGTTACTCTGTTGACTCCTATGTCACCATTCTCCATCAGATGCTCGTAGGTCTGCTTTAGTTTAATGGATCCGCTTCGCACGCTCCTTCGAATCGACCGAGAACCAAACCTAAAAACGGTCAGAGCCATTCAAGATAAAAGACAATCCACTAAATAATAATAATATCTCTTGGAAAGCTTGTCAGTGTCGCAAATTATAAAGATGCGTATGGTGGAAAAGCGGCACTCACTTCTTGGGATCAATACGTAATTGTTTCATACTGTTGATGGTACCCTGTGGTTTTAATGGTACTTTTGTGCCAGGGACCGGTATCATTGAAGAGTCACCAAGCATTAATCTTTGATTATTTGAATCACTAAAAAAATTAATATTAAAAGTTGTTCTATTAAGTGAATGTTACGATTTAGAAAATTCTTGTGATGTACTTAATAATGTGAGCAACAGAAGTCTTCTTCAATTTGAAGTTTATCACTCGAACTTTCGGAATGTTGTTGTTTAGAATTTTGAGCGGTCGTTGTTTGCGATAGATAATTTTCGAATCAAATATTTCCTCGCTAAGTTTTTTAAGTCCTTCGGAATTTTCGCCATTTTCAGTTTCGAATACAAACTGTCGCATAAAACTTTCTCGGACTTTAGGCAGGCTAAAATCGGATGGTACTTTGTGTAAAGTAACCATAAGTGGACTGTCTGGGAACTTTTCAAAGATTCGAAGACGAAACGGCAGTGTTTCTTTGATTTCAGCGCTTTGTTCACGATATTTTAGTTGTTTTAGTTTTTTAATGTCTTCATCCAACTCCAAGTTGTCTAAGATTACAGCGACGAACAAACTTAACACAATCTGTCAACAAATATAACATTTGTAATTAATAGCAGTTAATAAATACACTAATTAATGTTTACCAAAGTGACGAAAAGATGGTACAGAATAAAATACACTGCAACTAGTGGCGCAATTGTTGGTGGTGTCAATAACATAGTTTCGTCCATAACTTCCACCCATGCTTCCTGTGTCAAAATCTGGAACATGCTCATGAAAGCCTCGGCGAAAGTTTCGAATTTTGTAAAACCGCAGAGAAAGCAAAAGAGTTGCATTGATATACTTGAAGAAATGATCAGTAAACACATAGTGAAGATAATCAGACTGCCCAATTTCTTTCCGGGACCAAAGATTTTGTATACAAAATCTTCCAGCAGTGGAGAAGCTTTGATCAATCTTACAACTCGTAATACCTGGAATTTATTTATCATTAGTAATTTATTTCTGTATGATTCTGTTGGCGTACTTGAAAGTAAGTAAAACCAGACATGTAGAAATATGGAATGATGTGAATACTGGTCCCAATTGCCAGCAAAAGTTCAAATTTATGAATTGAATGTTTCCAATATCCTCGCCATCCCAGACACCAGATTTTAAACGCTGTTTCCAGGTTTAAAAGTATAGTAAAGCCGATTTCTGAGTAGTAATACTTTTCATAGAAGGCGCTTCGAGGAGTGCCATCGTGTTTGAAACGTAATGTGGCCGTAACTGCGCCATTTGCTAGTATTACACCCATTACAGCTAAGCGAAATTGTGGTGAACGCAATATTTGATGGCAAATTTCCGGGGCGAGTCCAGCGTGTTTATTATCGTCTAGGGTTACCAACTTCCAACCACGATCATCACCGGTGAATATCTAAAAAAAAAAGGATTTAAATAATAAATTAATTATTTCACGCCCGCCATTTTGAGTTTGGTTATAAATACTTGTGACGCTGTTGAATGTTGTATATTCCCTCGTACACCCCACATTTGTTGGAATTGTACACGTATCTCGTTGAATGTTTCAGTGATAACAGCAATGAAAACGTTCTTTACCAGCCAGGCAAGAAAGAAAATCATTGTACTGAAGTATAAGACTGCTCGCCATCCGGGTAAGCTGTCAATTGCTCGGTACATGATGAAAACCCATCCTTCTTGCGAAGAAGCTTGGTAAACCGTAAAAAAACTCGTCACTGAAATCAACAACATTAATTTTATAAATTTCTTCACAATATAAAATTTATACCAAATTCGTCAAATCCATTGAAGCCCATGATATATCTCGACAATCCAAGTTTCATACATTTCATTCCAACGGGACATTGATAACCGGAATTTGGATCAACCGAACAAAACGTGTCTGGAATCGCTAAAGAATTGATAGTGATATTCCTAAAATAAACAAAATTAATAACAGTAGAGAATTTTTAATGAATTTCGTTTACCCTGGTTCAGTTGTATTTAGTACGCAGTGATTTTTTAGTTCCCCAAAAAACTGGACACCCAATAATCCATAGAGGGACATAAAGAATAAAAAGAACAAGGTGACATTGTAAATTTGTTGACTCGATCGTCTAAAAAAAGAATTTATAATTAATATTTAATTTATCTGTTCCGCTAATAGAAATTTACTTGAAGATTTGATTAATTCGTGATTTTGGCATAGAAAATTTAAGAAATACTCTTAAAAATCGAATCATGATCAGTGGTCTCGGTGCTCTTAAAATCGATAAGTAGCTGTACTTTGGCACAACTTCAGTCAATTCAAATATTTGTAAAATGACGGAAATCCATAGGAAGAACACCATACTTGCATCAAATTGACACCAATGATCCTTTAGATAAGGTCGTTCTCCCTAAAAATTAAACAGAAATTGTTTATTTATTAAGTATTGTTATAAGTATTATAAGTATTTACTTTAAGTATTCCCCGAATGTGCATTTTGGCAATCATCTCTGCAGTAAATAAAAACGTGACAAACGAATCCACCGAAAATGTGATGATCTGCATGGGCGGAATGCGTTCGAAGGTCTTTGGCGTGTTGCAACAAATCGAAGCTAAGCTTAGCAGCGCGCAAAACCGCATCAATCTTCGCACCCATATCTAAATTATATAAATTTCACAAATTGCATGATCCAATAACTAAACAGTGGTTAAATTTGGTTGATTTTAATAAAATTGATTTGTTTTACCATGTTGACCCATTCGATATCAGCGCTCTCGTTGAATGCCTCGTCCGGTCCGTAGTCGGCGAGCACGGGCTCGCCTTTCAGGCTCTGTTTCCTCCCCAACATCATAACAATTTATCCCTGACGTTTCACATTGAACCGATCGTACCACGACGCGTGCCAAGAAATATTTTTGAACTTGTTTTACCAACTATGCGTGGGTGGAAGTTGCAGTTGCGAAAAAATAGACATTTTTAAAGCGGAATTTTCATTTTCTGGTGCAGATTTTGTAGGAAAGGACTTGTTTGAGGTGGGAAAAGTAGGATAACGACCGAAGGACTGAGCGAACGCGCGCAGTTATCCTGCTATCCTGCGTGCACACGAATCCCCGCGCGTCCTGCATTCCAATGGGAGTCTGCGCGAATCCAGTTTTCCAATGAAAATGTCAACGGAAACAGCTGAACGGGCACAGCGTGCAGGAGGGAAAATCGATAAGACATGAGATTAAAAGTAATAGAACCGTTCAATATATTAAACTCACTGATTTAAATAACTTCTAAGACAAACAGCGGGTAAATCAACATAAGAAAAACCTAAAATTGAGTCATAAAAGACGGATTATTTAAAAATAAATATATTTATCAAATATTACGAGATATCAGTTTTATTTCCTCATCAGTTCCATATGTTAATTATTGAAAATATAGCCTAAATGGACGTAGTATTGCTTTTCTTCAATTTGCTCGACATCAATACCTGAAAAACGGCAAAAAATACATTTTACTACTTTTAATTAAATTTTAAAATGTAGGTACTACCATAATCATTATAAACAGTATCCGGAAAGATCGGTTTATCAGAGAAATGAAAAATAGTTGTCGTTGTTGAACCCGCACGTCCCTCGCTGAAAAATCTGACGTTGATTGCAACTGCCGGTAAACTGCAATACCAAACATTTATATAGTAAATATCATAATTTAACAGAAACTAAACATACTCCTTGATAAAATCATATTGACTCGAATATAAATCACATTGAAAGTCTACAACGCTGGTATGCATCAAAGACTTGAAAGTTTTCTTCAAATGTTTGCATTTAAAGATACAGTTGTAAACTTGCGGCAAAGTAGTCGATCCGGACAATTGGCAGTTCATCGCCAGAAGCATAAATTCAGTAGTGAGATGCATATACGCAGTGTGGTTCAATTGTTTCATCAAATCGCCAATGTTTTCATTGCCTTTCGAAATTGTTAAACGGGATTTACGAGTCGCTGCTTTGGATATCTGATTCTGTGTTTCGACTATTTTCCTATCAACAAAAGAATCAAATTTATCAGTATAAATATAAAACAGGAATGCTGCACATACTCCCATTCTTCTTTGAAATGTCCTTCTCCATTCGGCTCCATATTTCGAATAAGAAACAAATAATCGTTGTGTAATTTATACAAGCCCAATTCAATCAAAAACTTTAATGCTACTGATATATTCAAAGTGGGCACAGCCATGTTACCCTCAATCAAACCATTGATAACCACACCCAATGTTGTTTTGTTTGCTGCTGGCTCTGTGTAGTTGATTGGAGTGTTGACCAAAGCAGCAAACAGTGTGTGGAAGCCTTGGAGAACATCATGAATGCCTTCAAAACCTATTAAAACAATTTTTACATGTTTTTTTTGCATTTGAATTATAAATTACACTTACTAATTAAACATTCCCATAATTTTTCCATAAAAGACCCTTCTCTCATGTTCATTACATCAAGATCTTTCCAATCTACTTCCCTTTTATGCACATGTCTTTTAGTTTCATAACTTCTCAGTAATTCTGCAATATCATCAGCAACTTCATGATATTCTTTTGGGTTTGGTGATATTTTCAAATTTTCTAGGTCATCTTCATCTTGCAGTTGCTCAATTAAATTGTATAACATGATTAATTGCTGCCACAATACATATAATCTTGACTCTGTATTGGATACATTTACTTGAAGGAACAGTTTATATTTGTTATTCACACTTTTAAACAAATGATCAGGACATGAAACTTCAATAAATGCTGAGTTTCCTATGGCTGTGTGTACCACATCTTCAGCAAGTCTCTTATTGTGGCCAAATTTGGCATATAGAGTATTTACTTCAACTGCTACTTTACAATCCTTTCTACTGTATCTTTGATGAAATGTTAACATAGTATTAAAGCAGACTTGCTGCTGAGAAATTGTGTAGCACCCATAGAAATGAATAATACCTCTGTAAAAGTCATTTTGTTTAAGCATAATTGCTAAGGTTTTTCTTGGATCTTTCCCATCACATAGACATACTTGCAGAGATGATTCTTTAGAATTGTTTAAGTATTCCCTAAGAATAGTTTAATTATAAAAATAATTTATGTGAAGTAATATCAATTATACCCAGCTTCCTTTGAGCTTAAAGGTCCATAGGTACTTTCCTCCTTGGTCCAGTTTACTGCTACTTTTTTGCAGCATTCTATCACATCAAATTTCACATCATCATCTAAGTCAACTTCCAGAGGATTTCCAGTGAGATTTAAGTCGCTCGTACTCTGAGTTGAATTCTTGGGACTCATATCTACATTTCCAATCAAATTTTCACTTGTTGGTTGAATCTGTAATTTAAATTTACCTATAATTCAAGAAATATACCAAGCATTTTGATGGAATACTAACCTTCTTGTATATTAAACGTATTAACTCTGTTGAACGAAAGATATCTTGCAGATAAGTTGGCATCGTGATGGCCAAAACATTGTAATCGCTTGAATTCATGATGGTTAATTATATTTAAGACAATTAATCAGTTTTAAATGCTGGAAAAATGAAAAATAACTCGCATGAAAACGGCGGTTATTTGTGAATGGCGGTTGAATTTTAGTTATGAGCGTGACTGTATGCAACCAAATGTGCACTTTTGATTCCAAATGAAAAGTTGAAACACGTGGCACACCGCGTTTTCCGTTTAAACTTTTATATTATTCGTAATATTTAAAAACAATATAATTCAGCAGTAATTATAATAATATAGTTATTAAAAATGCAGCATGACGATGTAAGTAAACGAATATATTCCATGTAATAAACAAGAAAACGGAATAATCTTCTTCTAACCTCCAATTTCCAGGTTGTATGGAGCATAATAAACAAATCATTTTGTTCACATAAAGTCCAGTAAGTTCATATTATTATTCTTATTTTAACATTACAATATTTACTTTAATATATTATTCTCTCAACAGAACGAAGTCGCAACGATTTTGTCGAAACGAATATAATCTAACAGGTCTTTGCAGCAGAGCATCATGTCCTCTTGCAAACAGTCAATATGCCACTGTAAGAGAAGACAAGGGCATTATTTATTTGTACATGAAAACAGCGGAAAGGTGCGCTTTTCCAGGCAAATCATGGGAGAAGGTTAAGTTGTCTAGGAATTTTGAGAAGGCAATTCATCAAATTAATGAAAATCTGCTCTATTGGAGTGGATTTGTGAAGTCAAAATGCAAACAGAGATTTGTGAAGATCACACAATATTTAATAAGAATGAGAAAGCTGAAGTTGAGGAGACAGAAACTATTAGTGCCTATTCAGAAGAAGGTGGACAGGAGAGAGAAAAGAAGGGAGGAGAAGGCACTTATTGCTGCTAGAATTGAGAAGGGAGTTGAGCAAACCCTATTGGACCGTCTTAAAAAAGGAGTTGTAAGTATTAATTATTAGTTAAAAACATGAGAAAATATGATTTTTAAAATCGACATTGATAACTATTCAGTTTTTACGTTTTTCTTCCTGATTTAAAGAAAGAAAAACATCAAATTCGAAAAATAACGAAAAAGTACTTCATAAAAACACTTTTTTATTAAATTCTAGTATCAAGATTTATACAATATTCCACAATCAACATTTGAAGAAGCACTGCAAGAGGGCGAAGTAGAAAGTGAAGCAGAAGAAGAAATGGACGAAGAATTAGAAAGAGAAATGGAAAACGAAGGCGATGACGAATTTGTAGCTGCTGACAGTGATTCCGAGATTGATTTTGACGAGGATGAAGCTGAAGTAAGATTATTTTTTATGTTGAAGTGCAAACTATTGTTTCTTATTACTTTAGGAAAGTGATAGCGGCCTTAGGCAAGAAGCCGACGTTGACAGCGACTTTGAATCATCAGATGAATCTGATATTGAGGTAATTCAATCATTTTCTTATCATACAAAATGTTTATTTTCTTTATTTACTAGGATATGAAACTTCCTTCAGCCAAAAAGCAAACGCCTGGATCTAGTAAAGGTAAAACGCCTAAAGGTGGAAAGGGTGCTAAAGGTAAGCGACCACACGTGCAAGTTGAATACGAAGTCGAAACGGAAAGGGAACCAGCACCAAGACTCAGCGCAAGTGACTTCTTTTAGGAAATGTATGTTGGTATTAATAAATCAGTTAAATATACACGGTACATTTGTCATATTTGTTTGTGGTAGGTATATGTGAAACAATTCTTTTTCAATGTACAATATCAATGCGTGTACTCGCAATTAATTTCTACTTGCACTTGAATAACACCATGTTCTACACCTCGATGCTAGCGGAAACGATAATAAAATCCTCGTGCTGTCGCTGTAGGTAGTTATGGTTTTAATTAAAACGCGCTTCATTGCGTGCGGTTGCCGTGAATTAACTCGTTTTTATTCGATGCGTTTGCACGCAGTCATTAATTCGCATCGTAAAACGCGCCACTGTAAATTCGCCGCACGATGCGCCGTCGATGCACTGTAAACACGACGAACACATTTTAATTAGGGGATGAGCCGTACATTTTCATTTTAACGACGATCAACACTGTTGAATTTGTGATAAACGAACAACTCTGAATGCATTTCGAAGATTGAATACTGAGTTCAAGTTCACATCGCGTCGAATTACGAGTGTGTACGAGTGTGTAATGTATTTTCGAGTAGGGAAAGAAATCCATTCGAGAGCTTTGAGATCAATTACAGTCATCCGGAAGGCAGGACCTAACTTGTAAAACTTTGCGCTGAAAGTTTCGATTACTCACTTAACTATAACCGGAAAATCATTCTGTTCGCCGACGAATTTTCGTTCATTCTTACATTCACTTTGGCCGCCCACGCCGCTCGAAAGTTCATGTCTCAATTAACTAAATCGTTACTCGCACAACCGGAACGAGCAGGTAATCAAAGTTTTATCATCATCATTTACCGGTTTCAACCAAGGATAATTGCATTCCATTAGTTAGATTCCGAGCGTTTTTCGTACCCAAAATTGAAAACATACTTTTTATTTGATTTTAACGCCCGAAACTTTTCTTATACTCGAAAGTTGTTTCGCGAAGATAGAATTGCCAAGCTTTGCACTTAGAATTATTATTTATAGATGGTCGGAGGAAATATGTGAAAAATTCAGCGGCAGGTAAATTCACTTTGCTCGAGATACAAGTAGACGTTTTGTGTGTTTTGTGCTTTTGAGAGCGTCCTTCGGCAGGGAAAACGCGCGCGTTGCTCGCGGGCATAAATCCGTGAATTTACGTTAACGTTACATAATCGCGAATGTTCAAAGCGATATTGCGCCACTGAAGTTAAGCCACCCTAGGCGCGCGATGCACGCAAGTGAAGAGGCACGCGAAATATCGATCATAAACGCTGCTGTTATGGCTGCGGGTTACGGTTATGGCTGATTTTATCAATCAAAAATTAATTAAAAGTTGTATTGGCCCGCCACAGGCACGTGTATTAAACTACCTTTGGCTTACCAGAATGCGTACAAGGTGCTTTAATTAATTATAATTATTTAGTATTTACAAGAGGGGACCCTGCGACTGTATCATTATATAAATTAATTAATTGTCATACACTGTGTTCATTCTAATGGAAGACTGATTACAATATCTATTGCTATTAACATCACATCTGTATAAAGTACAAGTACACGTATTTTGTTGATGATTAGTATAAGCATGATTGTTGTTATTAATTGGATTATGTCTTCAATCATGGAAGAAATCTCGAAACATGCGAAGTCATTAAGTATGAACACACGCAATGGTTCAATTCACGTGGTAAATATTAGAGATCATATGAATATTGCGAGTATTTCGCTTGTTCGGATCAAGTTACTAATTTATTATAACATGACATTAAATTCGGCAAATTTTACTGCTCATATCCACTCTTTAACCCTTCAGACTATACGTCTCCCATACCATAGTCATTAATATCGTGATGAGAGAAAATCTCACGCCTATTGCGCAAGCGCCAAGCGCGAAATTTCAAACCTACTAAAATAGTTGTAGGTTACACATCAAGTAAGATACAAAATAAAAAATTGGGTTTTGAATAATATAAATTAAATATTAATGTTATTAAAGTAAAAATTATATAATTCTGACGAATTATAAAATAAATATGAAATTTTCTATTTAGATAAATTATTTTATTAAGTTAAACTTGACAAATTAAATGCCAAATGGCGGGTGGAAACTACGGAGACAGCCGAAATAAAACGAAGCCATCCGAATAGCGGATTTTTTTGTGCCTAACTTTACTTACACGATGAGAAAAACTCTCACAGACGATAAATAAATAATTTTTTTCCTTAATTTTTTAAGTTAAAAAAAAATTATTTTTTCAGTATTTTGTAAAAAATTAAATTTTAGGAAGGTAAAAAAATTTTTAAGGGGTCATTCCATTTGAAATTAGAAGAAAAAAAAAGTTTTAAGAGAGGTGTGAGAGATTCTCTCTACACGATAGTTCTGAAGGGTTAATGTGTTATACACATTCTGTGCTGCGCTGGTTTCGAATTTAGTGTTAATTATGCCTTAGAGGCATAGGTAATTTAATTATTCCATGTAGGTTAGAAAGGACATAACCTAAAAGAATTATTAATGGTTAGAACGAATTAAAACATGACAAAACAGAGAGTAAAATCAGTTTTTCTCACAAATCACAGTGGTAACAGTATAGAGCAGTTTTGCCTGGTAAGAATCATGAGTTTTAAGTTTTTAGATATAAAATAGCATAATTTGTGATTGTTTTAGGTTATGCAACTTCATGAACTAGTTGGAGGTTTAGATACACTGCAAAGGAAAGAGTTCACTCCTACGATGCCCTTTGCAATTGCTGTTGCAGTTTGGGACTTTTTAAGCTTTTTTATAGCGTACAGTAAGGGTTTACTACTTTACTTAGCTTTATAAAGTGATATGGAGCGCTATGATTAATATATTTAATCATGAAGTTTGAAAATATTCAAAAATATTATCCAACCAGCTGTAATAGCAGGAAATAACGGGTTACATCGCAAAATTTTCAAAATTGTTTAGTAAAACAAATGAGTACCCAGGTAAAGTTACTCTTTACCCATTTCATCGCATTGGTCAACAGCATAATTGTTGATTTTTACTATTATTATACAACCGTGACCATTTTTAACGACGCCATTAAATCTTTAGACATGGTTATATCATGTCATGACAAATAATGCATCAGTAATAGATAGTTTTATCATCACTACCTTTTGCAGCTTAAAATTAAACGTCTCACATTATACTTATTAAGTTCCGTACGCAATTATTTCGCAACTTGAGTAAATACGAAACGCACGCATATGTAATGCAATGATAATATTTGATCATTTGATAGACATGTAGCTCACTGATTGGCGAGTTAAGTCAGACACACCCAACTGTTGTTTGCGTGAGAGTTAATGCACAGTTTCGGGTGCTTACGAACACGAAATTGACCTTCGACAATGTCGACAATGCCAAGCGACACAAGGAAGCATAACTAACTAACTCAACTAACCCAAGCACTCTGCTAACCGATCTGTTTAACTATGTTAAACATTGATGCCTGATTTTCAGCACGTCCACAGCTAGAGTTAGAGTAAGATATGTGGGTGTGGGAAATATGTTAGAAATATGTTTGGACTTTGCACTCATGTGAAGATGGAGTGGTTGTAGTGGTCAATAATGGTACTTATAGGTACTTATTGTAAATTTGTATTCTATTCATATGAGAAATGGTTTTGGGAGGATTTTTGCGCCAACATTACTTATGCAATGACTGAATTTGACTGAATTTTAAAAGAATTTGATGCATTTTGCGGTTTATACGATAAACATTCAAAAAAAAAATAATTTTCCTGTTTTGGAAGTTGTTAAGTAAACTTTAATGTTTAATATAACACTGACTGATTCAATTATGACTATTATTTGATTTTTGATATCTCATCAAACAAATATTTATATTGACTAATATCCCCGTAAAAATCCTCATATTTCTGTATTTGTTTACTCTTGTAATTTAATTTCAAAATATTTCACTTCCCAAATATTGCTGATATCATACTAGATGACGCTTGAATGTCGCTTTTTATTTTGATGACTATTGACGGCCTTGAGCAAAGTATAAGAAGCGCAGTCTCACCTGCAAACCGGATGACTTACGTCAAGGTTGCGCCAACCGCGAAGTGGCAATGATCTCGAATCGCGTGCGGCGTGCGTTTCGTGTTTACGCGTGTAGTAAAATGCGCCGGCCGGCGCACCAGAACTCAAGACAGCAGGAGATCTCGCAAGACCAAAATATCTTCTCGCCGGAAGAGACTTGAATCATTCCAGTGTAGTGCATCACTGCGCAACATGCTTCTGCATTCACTAAAAATACATATAAACAAACACATCCGGTAAATATTAAATATTAGTGTGATTACTGTCAAAACGCGGGATGTAAAAATGTCAAAAGTGATTTTAACTTGATTTTAACATTCGTAATAATGAACATGTGATGTAAAGTGCCATCAACAACACTCAAAATGTCATTTTGGAGGACTAAGCTGAGATAGTGATCATCTAACGACCGGAAAACAAATTTATATTGCGAAAACCACAGAAAAAAGATGTGAAAAAGTTTCAAGTAGACAGTGGATGAGTGTAGACATGTCAACAATAAAAGTTACATCAGGTTTATTATGATTCCGGCAATAAAAATATGAGTTTTTGTTGTTTGTTGTCAACAAACAACAATTTCATGTTTATTGCGAGTAAAGTACGAAATTAAAAAATAATTTAAAACTAGTTTAGTGTAAATAGAATTATAATTATTAATATTAAACGGTAAATACATGTGGCAATGACGTAAATTCGTCAATTCAACGAACGTCAATAAATTAATATTTGCAGAGGTATCAAGGCCGTGCGTTAATTATATGTTCGCGCTTTTTACGTTCGGCTTTATTGCACAGGTCGAGGGACACATACAGTGCGATATTGCTACACGAAATCCAAAAGTTGTTTTCCTGTCGCGTCGCGTCGCGTCGTCTGCGCTACAAATCGACAACAATAGTGCACACCGTGCGCCAAGTGGTTAACAATCTCCACAATCACCGCGGCGCGAAGCAAATGCCAAACGAAATTCCCAGTCATCGGCGAGCGACCGGGCGCGTTTTGTTATTAGCCTATACGCAAATTAGTATAATTCATGATTCGCAACAATGACGTTGCGAAGTCGCGGTGATGCAGCGCGCGAGAGCTGAGTTGATGTAATGGTGGAGTAAGCCTTCACTGCGTTCTGGTTGAAATAATTAGTGTGCGTTCATTACCTGTGGACTGTCCGTGAGCAATCGCCATGTACGACGCATTTTTGCTACAGTTGTTGCATCGAACAGTTGTGCATGTGCAACGTCGGCGTCAAAATTTCAATTTTACTTAACTGACACCTCTCACCAAATGACATTCGAATAATTTTACATTGATCGGTTTTTAATCGTCTCGAACGAGCAGAAATTTAAATATTGAATAAGTAAGTTATAACTCATATTTAATTAAGTATTGTGATTTTGTTTTGTTTTTTTAATGCCTATGTGGGTGAAATTTTAATTGGGTGTGAATATCAGTGTGTGGGGCGGGCGTTGCGTGGAAAAGTGTTGGTTTACTAAATGTAATAAAATATTGTGCACTCTAAACTAGTGCAGTGCATCACCAGCAGTGATTCTGTTTTTGTGGATTGAATTCAAGGATAAAACATGGGATTTCTACGGTTTTGCAAAACTACGTATAAATATAAGTAAGTTAATATTCCACAATTAAAAAAAAAAAAAAACAGACAAAAACTTGTTTGTAGGTAAAGTTGCCTATATTTTAACCTTATTTAAAGAATATTGACAATTATCGTCTGCCAGCGACTTTGGTTCCGTAAATTTTCATAAAAAAATGTTAATTACTAATAATTTCTTGTTTTTTGGTGTAATTTTGTGTTGAATTCGTCAATAGTATAATAAATTTTAATTTAAATGAATTAAAAATACGATTATTGCACTTCAGCGCCATCTCGATATGAATTTTAGAACTAAAACTGGAATTAAATCTATATACCAACTTTCATCCCATATTTTACACTCTGTATATTATATTTTTGTGTCAAAAAGTAGCCTATTATATTTTCCATAATCTAAACTATCTCTATACAAAATTTTATCAAAATCACTTCAATGGTTTTTACGTGAAAGCGTCACAACTAAACAAACAACCTTAAATTTGCATTTATAATGTTACACGAGATCTTTTAATTCCTGTAATTTAAATATTTTACATTTTCATGAATTTTTGAATCAAAGCAACGCCCAAACATTCGCGACACGTGTAATGAAAACATGCATTAATACTCCACTAAACGTGTCTTTATTATAACAAGTCTGTAAATCAAAATGTTTATGCCAAGCAGGAAAAATCGTAACAAGCGTATTTAAGTAGATTTCTGGGTAGAAACATACACATATACATCACCTCCTTTCAGTACGCGATGCTCATTGCACGCGGATGCGTCTCGTCTCGTTCCGCTACGATTACACCATCAACTATTTTCGGATTCTTAGGACAGGTCACTTAAAACAACAACATACGATTTGATATACGCCACACACAACTCAAAAGTTAAAATTAAAAATAGTTAAAAACCGTTAAGACAATCACAATCCTCAAACCGCAAGAAACGATTACCTCATAATTTACTATAACGTAAGTTTTATTTTTATTTTCTTTCTTGTTCTGTGGTGAAATTAGATTTAGATAGAGAATTTTAATTGAATTCAAGTTCCGATTGAGAGATTATTACACTGCGCGTACGATTGGATTTCGTAGCCAAGTGGTATGTTGTCGATTAGCGCGCAAAACGGCTGTTTTTATGTGCACTCGCAGATAAAGATCATTTCTTTTTGGCTCGCGTCCGGATGGCGCTGAGCGACATGTCGTTTTCTTGCTTGTTGAAATATTCGCAACGCCAAATGTTTGCCATTTGCTCGGGCGTGTTTATTTTCGACGCTTTTTTTTTCGCTCTCGACTATTACGCGAATTTCCACTTTTATTACATACGTACTGTAAATACGGTTACTCCATAAATTAGATTATCTTTTCTAACAAAAACAAAAACATTTTTATGTTAAATAAATATGTTGTTACTTTAAAAGTATTTTTTTCATCTACAAAAAGGATTTTTTGGGTTTTTTGTTGATAATAGTAGATAATATTAATGTTTTTGGCTGAGATTAAAGTTTTGTCAACACACGGTGGACGCTAATCCCTTAAAATACGCTTTATTTATGAATTTCGTAAAGTTTTGAAAAGTTGAGCGAATATTTGAATTTTGTGCATCAGTACGCTTATTGCACGCTTATCGCTTGGTAGGAGTTTTACTGCGTCGCGAAAGGATAAATCTCCCGAGTCACCTTTTACGAGATATTAATAAAAAAACAGCGTGATTGCCTTTAAAGTTACCGTTTGCGGTAAAGTAAAAAAGATAAAAGTCGTCGATAAACTTTGAAAAGCTCTAATAATAATCAACTTTTCAACACAAAAACTGAACCGTATCATAAACCGTTAAAACTTTCGATCTCTTAAAAATCGTATACTATTAAAACTAAAATTGTTAAAGTCTCAAGTATTAGAGGGATTAAAGTTTGTTTAGTGCGGATTTCGCGCGCGTAATTATAATGTGATCGGAAGCTTGATGCTAATGACGGCAAAGTTTACTGTGTTTAATTGCACTGGAGGCGGCGGCTGCGACATTGGTTGTGTGTTCAAGTGAGTGAGGAGAGTTATTAATTGAACTCGTGAAACCGTGAATGTGAAAAAAATGTAGATTCAAAGAGAGAGTGATTATAAGTTTTTATTGCGCGGGCCTTTTGTTTGCGTTTTTTGTTTGCTTCTCAAATCTGCTTTATATCTGTGCGCGCTGCGCGGCTGAAAAGGAAGAGGTGAAGTTGGTGCGAGTGTAGGTGTACGATGATGCTTTAATTTAACTTTTTGAATACGTCGCGGTGAGGTGACGGAGCAGACTGAATAAATTTTGGTTTGTGTGTGTGTTGTTGATGACATCGAGTCATTTTCTGAAGCTTTACAGACATGCAGGAGGAGGTTTTTTTTCTTGGGAATATTTTAACTAATATTATGAATGTGGGTATGAATTTGTATGTTTGTGACGCTTTCACGTACAAACTATAAAAGTAATTTTGATAATTTTTTGTATAAAGAGAGATTTAATGTAGAAAAATAAAATAAACAACTTTTTGTTGTAAAAATTTAGCTGCAAGGGTTAAAATAAGGGGTGAAAGTTGGTATAGAGATTTAATCAAATTTATAGTTGTATAATTCAAAACTAGATGGCGCAAAAGTGCATTAAAAGCAAAAAAAGGATTGGAATAGATTACTTTACCTTTTTTTTATATAAATATAATTTTTTCTTTAACAAATCACTTAAAACACTAATAATGTCTAATTTTGCGTGTTGAAATGTCAGTTTTTGCGCACTATGAGTACACAAAATGCAAATTTTTGTCCGCTTCATAACTCCATTACAAAAATATATAAAACGCAAACAACCAAATTAAATCAAAGTCAATTAAGCCAATAAAACATTTTTCCATTATCGTTATGTTTGAGTTTAATTGAATAAATTACTCGCAATGTATGGAAATGGTTTTTTTTATCAAATGAAAGCAATTTTTTATTCAGTAACAACGCGAAATCAAATTTAATTGCCATCACGTTTCAATATGAACAATATTAAAATGTCACCTGCACTCCCCATCAAATAATCATTTGTCTGGATGAATATTGACGTGAATTTTAGCTGTTCTATCTCTATCAAAGTCTGTGTCCATCCAGCAACACTAACTATTGTGTATAGTATGATATTTGCACGAAGGGATTTTTAAACACGCATAAAATTTCATTTCCATTAAAGTCCATTCATTTCCACCGTTTTCACCTTCATCCGCATTAATTTTAATATTTATACTTTCATTATAACCGTATTACGATGCCTGAACAAACCCTCGATGTTGGGAGTCTTTTGCCTCGGTGCTTTCAGGGATGTCGAGGGTGAGCATTGTGTTTTTGTCAGTTGAGTGCCATCGCGTGGGTTCTTTGCCGAAGCAGAGATCGTTGAGTTGGCGGAATTGTGTATTATCACATATTGTCGTGTCGGACCCAGAGCCGTAACAATCGCAACTGATTTTAAGCGATACTTTAGCAACCATTTACTAAACGCCCACGCTCTCGTTTAGCGCACAGCCATGAAAGAACAATTTTCTAGGGTCTAAGAGATACGATTGCCACCGAAATGAATTCAGCGCACAATGGACTTCTATAACAATTTGAAATAGTTTATGTTTACAGCAAAAGGTTTTCCTTTATATCAATCTATAATAAAAAAATGAATTGCAAAATCTGTTAGTACGTGCATAACTCAACAACGCCTTGACCAATTTGGCCAATTCTTTTTTTTTTAATGATCGTTGAAGTCCAAGGATGGTTTTTACTGCGAGAAAAATTTGAATAATTGCGGGGAAAACCCTAAAACAGCCCTTTTTTATAGGATAAAAGTTGGCATTGAGATTCAATCATAGTTATAGTTAAATATTTGAATCCGAGATGGCGCGCATAAGTGCATTATTAGCAATTCTTTATATAATTAATTTCTTTAAAATAAAATTGCGAATCTTATTGATAGAATTGACACATACTATGTCTAGAACATTAAAGTGAAAAAAAATTATATTTTTATTAAATACTACCGGGACAAAGTCGCGGGCAAAAACTAGTCATTTTATAAATTGATATTTTATGCAAGTAATTTATAAACAAATAAATTTAACTTAATAGTATATAATTTATTATGTGTTATGATTGAGTGCACTCATTTTTTGACTCCAATTGCAAAATTTAAAAGAAAAATTGGTCCACATATGAAAATGTAGGCTCTATTACGCCATTTGTTTCTATTTACCCTAAAAATGTTGCCAAACGTTAGAGATTCGTAACGTAATGACCTTGCGTATGCTGTTATTTTGGTTTCCATTGTGCGTTCGGGTGCTTTGCAAATGTTTGAATGTTTGTTATGCTTAAGAGAGCCGTATTGTTGGGCTGCCTGCTTCTGTTTATCGTCTACTTTAATGCTTCATTAAATTCGACGACAAATTTTGCGAGAATCGCTCGCACGAGCAAAGTTATTATAAAAATGGCGCCGGTTGCCAAGTTCTGCTATTTTTCACAACCTCATACAACGCAAAACTACACTAGGAATACTAAAAATTATTAATAATAAAAATATCAATATAAAATATTGAAATTCGATCATTAAACTTAATTAAGAGCGCATATCGAATTATACCGTTTAGTCTTTTATGTGTATTTTATAATTTTA